AGCGGAGAGCCCTCAGCGAGTCCAGGTGGCAGTAGCTGGCCTTAAGGTGACCTTCCTGGGAGGGCGGGAGGAACTTTCTTCTAGACAAAGCCCTGCCGATCTCCAATATACAAGAACAGCGATTCCAGAGTGAGGTCTGTGCATAAAGCACAGGGAAGTCTGGATACTGGGTGGCTTATAAGACCAGAAACTCAGAAAGAAGGGCTCTGACCCTCAGGGGATGGGACGAAGGTGGCTCTAAGACCCCGCTGGTGGCATTGGCCCTGGGACGGAACGTCGAGGTGGGTCTTGGGGTTGGATCGGCAGATCGTGAGACTAAAGCGGGTCAAACGTCACGTGCTCGTGCTGAAATGGAATTCAGGATCTCAGGTCAGCCAGGTGACGCGTCTGTGCATTCACCCAGCATGCGTGTCTTCCACATCATTTGGATGCTGGGAAAGGCTGGGTGTTGGCATACAGAGAGGAGTGTCAGGACAGAACAGAGTCACAGCCTTTCAGGTGACGGGGCAGGAACCAGGGACAAGCAAACACACACTGAGGAACACGGTTGGCAGAGATAGATAGGTGTCATGCAGGGCGTGAGACCTGGATTCGAATCCTGGCTTTCACCACTATTTCAAGATGGTGACCAACGCATTTTCAACCTCTAATATGGGGATGCAAAGAAATACCACCTGCCTTTTAGAAGAGTTAAGCGGATTAAAGAAGTCCACGTATATTAAACATTTTGCTGACTGTGTTTTACAAAGTAATGCTCAATAAATGGAGGTGATTATTATACTATTCTTAGCACTTTGGGAATCGAACCATCTCAAGTTCCAATAACGACTCTGCAATCAGTGGCCACTGGGCAAAGTGAGTTTTCAGTTTCCATTATGCATGACTCACTCTACCGTTCTTTTCAATTCAGCTCATATACGCATAATAATAGACCAACAACATGGAGAGAAAATCCATAATTTGACAGTGCTTTTCTATGCTTTGTTTTGCGTATCCTTTTCCATTCAAATTAACGAATGCTTGTCTCACCGCTGTGTTCAGGCTCTGAGCGGTATCTGCACAGTATATGGCCTTCCAATACCGGTTTATTTATGCAGTAGTCATTGCTGTGTGCGTAAGGGCCGTTTTGCATTCTGCCCTTTTTACATAGTGTTGTGTACACATCCATTTAGGGGAGTTGCTATAATTTACTTTTTAATTTTCCTATCATTGTACAGTAAGGTTGTTTTCAAGAGTTTGCTAGGCCAGAGTATACAGCGATGGGACCTCTTTGTGCAGAGAGCTGCTGCTTCTGCTAACTTATTATCGGGGGATATATCTCCAGACATAGGTGAGCTCGATTCACATGTACGACCTACATAAGGCATAAAAACAATCTCTCAGTGTTGCATAGAGATGACGAATCTTCTTTAGTTGCTAAATCCTTGCCCGTGGGGAGAACTCCTTTACGTGGCTTCCTATCACCTAAGATTCAGATTCCTTCTAGGAGGAGGAACCCAGGCAGTTAGCTCCTTACAGCAATTGCCAGGGCAGACGTGACTTAGGTAGACTTTTCCTCAGCTCATGGAAAGGGTTGTGTAGCCCTCGTTGGTGATGTCATATTGATCTGTGTTTCTTTTTTCAACTGTGAAACTGGGAAATGTCCTTCTCAAGAATTTCCTGTGGAGGAATCTGGCTCCTTTTCAAGCTCTTGAAAGTCGTAAAGTCCTTTGATCTCCCAAATGAGATCATCTACAATGTAACGTATGTTTGTGCAGCAAACTTGGCCTTTCGTCTCCAGAGTTACATTCTAGTAAGGGAACCGGTTAATGTGCTGTCTGTTAACTTGTTTTCTGCCAGATCCTATGGGACAACGTGCTCGGGTATAAATTGATCAAATGTTACGAGTGAGGAAAACGGCTAATTAGTAGATGACCGCTAAGCACAGCTTTGTTTTCACAGGTCCAGCCTAGCTCTGGCTCGGTAAAACCACCTTAGAAAAGAAATACATCTACTGCAGGAAGCATGGAGCAAATGGCATGGGGGAAAACAATCAGATATTCCTCTCCCCCGGATGAGATGAGGCCGCATTTATTTATTTCCACAGGAAGAGCTTGTGAGGACTTGCCTTTTATGAAATGGTGACCCTAAATCTTCTCTTTAAGGTTTCCAGATGCATTTGCAACATTCAGTGCCTTTCGGAGCAGGTTCCCCGAGGTGTCTGGGTATTGTCACTGTGCCGACAGTCAAGGGCGGGAGTTGACTGAGACGGGTAAGCACACCTCAGGCAGTCCGAGGGGACGGGTAGCATTCGCCAGGCCTGAGAGCTTAACTCTCATGATCTGCAGAGCAGGAATAGTGGTGACCGCCTGCCCCCTGCCAGGCTCCGTGGGTACAGAGGGGGCATGGCCAGCAGGCTTGCGTCTGTGCTACTTTGAACACAGCTGCGGCTGGCCTGCCTGGTGCCTCCGTGTGCTGGAAAGGCGTGTCCGCACCGGGCAGAGGCCGCCCTGCGCGGGGCACGTGGGACGCAGGACAGACCTGGGTCTCCTCCGTCTCCTCGGTCTCTCAGCGGCGCCCCTTCGCGCTGTGGACAACCTACACGGCCACGCACCGCGGCCCTGACCTTGGGGACCGTGAAAGTCTGCTTCCGACCCGCTGCGGAGTGAAGCCAGGGAAGGCCCTGGCCTTCCTAATAACGGTTCACGTGGCACGATGGGGTCTTCCTCTCCGCGTGAACCCGCGCCTCCAAACGCTCGCTCTCTCTGCTCAGGTCTGGAGCTGCTGCTCGATGAAATTTACGACACCATTTTTGCCGGCCTGGACCTCGCTTCCACCTTCGCTGAGACCACCCTGTTCCGGATATTGCAGAGACGGTTCCTAGCAGTCCAGGTGGTCGTTTCTGGCAGATTCCGATGTAAGTAATGAGCCGACAGCCGAAGCGCATGTTTCCGCCGGGAGGAAACCAACCACTTGGGTTTTAGAGTCGCCGCAGGCTCCATGGCTGTCCCACCAGAGGGGGTGAGGGGATTGGTGGATGTTAACGGCAAGCGGAGTGTGCCCGGCAAACACGTCGCGCCTTCTCCCCGGCCCCTCCTTCCCCGCCTGGCTTTCTCCTAGGCCCCACGAAGTGCGAAGTGGAGCGGTTTGCAGCGGCCAACTTCGGTCACCCCTACATCCCGAGCTGCCGCCGCAATGGAGACTACCAGGCCGTGCAGTGCCCGAGGGACGGGCCGTGCTGGTGTGTGGACGCCCGAGGAAAGGAGGTCCACGGGGCACGGAGCCCGCCACAGGGGGACACGCCGTCGTGCGGTGGGTGTCTTCTCAAGGTCTCCTCCCGTCAAGCTCCACGTGACGGAAAACCCATTCATCGTCATGAACTTCTAGCGTGTTTCCTGCCCCGTGTCAGACAGTGTCTTCCTCAGAGAGCTTAGCGAATATTGAGGGTCTCGCAGGTAAAGAACAAGGAGAGAGAATGACGTTTATGTGGGTCACGAGAGGAGCGTGTAAAGGAACACAAAGCAAGGCGGCTTCGATTCTGTCTTGAAGCGCACGTGAGAAGGAGACACTCGGGAAGGCTTCGTGGAAGAGGTGACGCTTGTTTAATTAGTTTTCTAAAATAAAGATAATTTAAAATAAAGAAAACTAATAAAATAATTAGTTTTCTAAAATTCCCGAAGGAGGAAGATAAGGAGAGGTGTTCTCTAGGTAGAGAGCAGGAGAAGCAACATTGTAAGGACATAGATCATAGGCTTTGAAACGCGAATGCCGCTGACTCTGCAGGAATAGGGAAGAAATGCCGGAGTCGGATCAGGGTGGGGCTTTCACTTTAAGAGAAGGGCAGGGTGAGACGATGTGGTCTTTCGCATTGGAGTAAAGGCTTGGGGGCGTCATCTTGCAGGTCAGGTGAAGACCTTGGGGGTGATTCAAGCTGGCGCATGCCGTGCTGGGCTTTGCATGTAATAAAGATCACGCAGGCGTTTTGGAGGACAGATCGAAAGCAGCGTTAGACGGTAGCGATGGGACCAATTCCAAGAGAGATCGGGGGACTGTATTACTTTCCTGCGGCTGCTGTGGCACATTACCACAAAGCGGGTGGCTTAGAACAGTGGAAATGTATTCTCTCACAGTCTGGAGCCTAGAGTCCAAGATCAGAGTGTCAGCAGGGCCCTACTCCCTCCGAAGGCCCCAGGAGAGAATCCTTCCTGGCCTCTTCCTTGTTCGTGGTAGTAGCTGACAACCTTTGGCATTCCTTGGCTTGTGGCGACGTCACTCCAAACTCCGCCTCTGTCATCACAAAGCCATCTTCCCTCTGCGTCTGTGACTGTGTCTCTTCTCTTCTTATAATGATGCCAGTCATATCGGATGAAGAGCTTCCTCTTCGATGATGTGTCTTAACTAATCGCATCTACAGAGTTCCTTTTTCTAAAAATAAGGTCACGTCCTGAGATTCTAGGAAAGGCATAAACTTTGGAGAGACACTACTCACCCCTGTCCAAAGACCAGGACAAAGGTAGAAGCAGTGGGCTGGGGAGGAGGGTGTGGCCTTGAGAAGTGTCCCTAGGGATTCCAGAAGACTCCATCTCCTGTCATCAGTAAGTAAGGCTCTGAAGGGAGGAATCCAGGAACACGATGTTCTAGGCCGCTTCCCACTTGAGTGGGCTGAGCCAATTCAGCAAGATTTGAAAGAGAAGGACTGAGGGTCTTTTTACAGTCTCAAAATAGCTACGTATTCATGTTCATTCGACAATTCCTGTTAAATCGTTTGGTTTCTCCAACTTAACACTTTGAGTATTCTGCACAGCGTTTGGGAGTATTCTCTCTGGTGAGTGTGCAGGTGTAGAAAAAGAAAAATTTGAAGCTCTGCTTAGAAGGTTATTTGCAATTATATCTTGTAAATGTAATTTACAAGACATAAATTATCTCGTGCCCTCCGGTCTCCAAGCGGAAATGAACTGCGGCTCTCCAAATTAAAACCGAGAGTGCTGCTAAACGCGTGGATCGTATATTTTGTCTTTTTCTCTCTGATATCTCAGTCCTATTTCCATGGAAACACATGCCACATGGAACCAGTATCTGAATTTTTTTGCCATGGTAACATTACATACGAATGGAAGGGAGACACTCAATCTGGAAAGAGAACCAGCAAAGCAGGAAATTTAATTTCTTTCCTACCTTCCTGTAATAGCTATTAGAGGAAGCCATGGCCTCATTAAGGGCTGTGTTGTGTGTTCTGATGTTGCCAGTCTTTTCTGTCTCTCTCTCTCTGACCGCATGTTCCAGTCCTTTCTCTGTTGCCTGGTTACAGAGGAAAATTGGCTGACTTCTTTTTTGGCATCCAGGGGAAAGAATGATTTTAAAAAGTTGGGGTGGTAGGCGGTCGAAAACCTCTAATATTTATGATTTCATGGAGCAAACAGAGCTTCTTTACTTTCACCTATATAACGGAGATATTAGAATTGGACTTTAAAATCTTTTATTTTTTTTCTTAGTGTGATTAAAATCAAGCTGGGATATTCAGATAGAATGCCCTGACCATGCCTGGCATTGACTGAGTTGATTACTATTTAATCAGTAATTTCAAGGGAAGGTAAAGAAGCCTAGAAAAATACACTCAGTGTGTTTGCTAAGCGGGCGTCATTGTATTATATCACAGGAGGTATCATCCTTCCTGTAATACATAACGATATTCTATATTATGATGTAGAAACGTATTTATTATAGGAAATACCAATAGCCTTTAAAGAATGGCTGTCATCCCCAGAGAGACTGTAAACCAGTTAGCTGAGACCAGACGGCCCACCAGGAGGAGGTATCCAGTGGGCCGAAGATCATAATATGAAGCATTGAAGTCCACTAAGAATTCCAGCATGAGAATGCTGGAAAGCAACATTTCACTTAAAAAATCGGCACTTGTTTCTGCATTCATTGCCTTGGGCGGCTGTAACAAATTACCACGGACCGGGGAGCTTAAAACAGCAGAAATTTATTCTCGTGCAGTTCTGAAGCCCGTGAGTCTGAAGTGAAGGTGTCACCAGGGCTGCGTGTCCTCCCAAGGCTCTAGGGGAGGCTGTGTCCTTGGCCCGGTCCAGCTTCTCATGGCTGCTGGCAACCCTTGGTGACCCTTGGCTTGTAGCCGCACCCCTTCAGTCTCCCCTCCCCACCCCACCTCACGTGGCCTCCTTCCCTGTCATCGATCCGTGTCTTCACACGGCCTTTTAATCAGGACACCAGTCATTGGGTGCGGGGCCCGCGCTAACCCAGCGTGATCTCAACTGATTACGTCTGCAAAGACCGTCTCTCCAAACGAGGTCCCATCCCGAGGCTCCAGGTGGACGTGAATCCTGAGCGGGGGGAGGAGGGAGACATCATCGACCCAGGGCGGTTGGCGTGTGAGTGTGGCGAAGTTTTTAGATACAGAGGAGGAAGAGGCACAAAACGTAGGTGTCCTGCACGGAGCCTTCTGACATTTCCCCCCCGGGAAGATGTGGGGGGCTGTGTCAGGATGACTCGTGACACGAAACCGTTTTTCCTGTTTGCTCTGTCCTGTGCAGCCGAGGCCCCATCCTGTACCTGGGAGCGGCGGCAGGCCCTGTCAAGACTCCTCTTCGGGCCCGTGGGCTACTTCAGCCGGCACAGCTTGTTCTTGGCTTACGAGAAAAGACAGGTCTCTCGGGGGACAGCCAGACTGGCCCCGTCCTGCCCACCCTCCATCAGGGAGCTGCTCGTGGACTCCGGGGTCCTCCGCCCAGTGGTGGAAGGTCAGGGGCGGCAGCTTTCTGCCTCCGAGAGTCTCCTCGAAGAAGCCGTCCGAATGATTTTTCCCTCCCGAGAGCTGGCTCGGCTTGCCCTTCAGTTCACCACCGACCCACGGCGACTACAGCAAAACCTCTTTGGAGGAAGATTCTTGGCGAACGTCGCCCAGTTTAACTTGTCTGGGGCCCTCGGCACAAGGGGCACGTTTAACTTCAGTCAGTTTTTCCAGCGACTTGGTCTCCCCGGCTTCCAGAACGGTGGAGGACCCCTAGATCTAGCCAAGCCCCTCTCCGCGGGATCGGATTCAAATCCTGCTGTGGAAAGCCCCGGAGCTGCCGAGAAGGGCGAGACTATGAATAAGCCAATTGCGGGCAGCTTTGGCTTTGAAGTGAACCTGCGAGAAAATCAGAATGCTCTGAAATCTCTCGCTTCTCTCCTGGAGCTCCCAGAATTCCTTCGCTTCTTGCAGCATGCTGTTTCTGTGCCAGAAGACATAGCGAGGGATTTAGGTGACGTGATGGAAGTGGCGCTCAGGTCCCAGGGCTGCGAGCAGGCACCTGGCAGCCTTTTTGTCCCGTCGTGCACTGCAGAAGGAGGCTATGAGGATGTCCAGTGCTTCGCTGGACAGTGCTGGTGTGTGGATGCCCAGGGCAGAGAACTTCCCGGCTCCAGGGTTAGAAGTGGACAACCACGATGCCCCACGGAGTGTGAAAAGCAAAGGGCTCAGATGCAAAACCTCTTGGGCAGCCAGCCTGCTGGGTCCAGTCTGTTCGTCCCTGCTTGTACCAGGGAGGGCCACTTCTTACCTGTCCAGTGCTTCAACTCTGAATGCTACTGTGTCGATGCTGAGGGTCAGGCCATTCCTGGAACCCGAAGTGCACCTGGGGAACCCAAGCGATGTAAGTACATGGTGTATTCAATCTACAAACTCTGGTTCTCGATTAAGGCCGTAACACAGTGCATCACAGATAAAACGAATTCAGTCATAACTAGAGCCCAAACTTCTATTGTTGGAAAAAGTTGCTGGTTAATCTAAACATTTTCCAGAGAAGTCTTGATAATGTTAACCATTCTGATGAGCAAATAGGGAGATTCATTTGGCCTTAAGGAATTGCCACATACGTGTCTGCAGAGCTGACAGTAGCTGGTCTCAACAGTTCCTGTTTAGTGACAGGAATGCTTTCTGTCTGGACGTGATGGGATCTGTAGCCATAGAAGGTTTTAGTTAAGATTTTCCATCTCGGTCTTCCGTGCTTATTAAACTCCTTCACCTGACACACTGGCTCATTCTCCCTCCACAGGCCCCACGCCCTGTCAGTTGCAGGCCGAGCAAGCCTTTCTTGGGGTGGTGCAGGCCCTGGTCTCCAATTCCAGCGCGCTGCCCACGCTCTCCAGTATCTACATCCCACAGTGCAGTGCCCGCGGGCGGTGGAGGCAGATGCAGTGCGATGGGCCCCCCGAGCAGGTCTTTGAGTGGTACGAACGATGGAGGGCTCAGAATGACGACGACGGCCAGGAGCTGCCCCCCTCCGAGCTGCTAACGAAGATCATGAGCTATAGGGAGGCCGCTTCCGGCAGCTTTCGTCTCTTTATTCAAAGTCTGTATGAGGCCGGCCAACAAGGCATCTTCCCAGGGTTGGCAAGATACTCTTCTTTCCACGATGTCCCCCTGGCTGTGCTGGAAGGGAACCGGACCCAGCCTGGAGAGAGCACCCTCCTAGAGCCCTACCCCTTTTGGCAGATCCTAAATGGCCAGCTCGGCCGATACCCGGGGCCCTACTCGGACTTCAGCTCCCCTTTGTCACACTTTGACCTTCGGACCTGCTGGTGTGTGGACAGAGCTGGCCAAGAACTGGAAGGAACCCGGACTGGGCCGAATAAGGCCCCAGCATGTGAGTTCAACCGTGCGAAAAACTGAGTCGTGCCTCTGAAAAATAGGTGTCTGCTGGGTATTGAGTGTCCAGGCTGGACTTGGCTTCAGATGTGGCCAGGTGCATCCCTTCAGTGTATGCTTGAGGAAGCTCAGGCTGACATAAGAATACCCCAGCCTGGGGAGCTTAACCAAACACATTTATTTCTCAGTTTGGTGGGGAGGAAGTCCAAGACCAAGGTGCCGACAGATTTGGTTCCTGGCGAGACCATCTTACCACCTTGCAGGTGGCCACCTTCTTGCTGTGTAGTCCCATGGCAGAGAAAGAAAGAACTCTGGTCTCTTTTCATAAATAAAGATACCAATCCCATCGTGAGGACCCCACCCACCTGACCTTATTTAAACCTAATGGCTTCCCAAAAGCCCCACCTCAGATCCCACCTCACTGGGCGTTAGGGCTTCGACACACACAGCTTGGCGGGCACAAACATTCGGTCCATGACATGGAGGCCCGTAGAAGAGAAGTGATTTCCCCATATCTGCACCGTTAGGGCTTGGCAAAGTTAATGTAGTTCGTTTTTTAATTTTTATATAATCAATGAGTTAAACCAATGGCTTGAATTTTAACTGGATGTCTTCTGTGTCCGGAGCATTATCTCAGGCCTGATGAAGGCCATAGGTTAAGATGACCTGGCTCTTGTCCTCTGTGGCGAATGCTATAGCAATCTCTCAGACGTCAGGCACACCGTCTGATTGAATGGCATGTGTTATGGTGGCCTTGCTGCTCGCAAGGTCACTGCTAGGTGCTCGGGACTTCAGGAGGAGGGTCTGCCTTCGAAGTGCCTTTCATTTACTTGAAGGGGTTTAATCAGGGGACTGACTGGAGAGCTGCTGCAGGAGGTCTGAGAGAAGCTTCGTGGGAAGCGGACCTGTAGGAAAGCTGCAGCATCGGGGCCAGAATAGAATGAGGCTGACTCTGTCCCTGAAAGTAAAACGCCACCTGACCAAATGCCAGGCCAGTTAGGAACAATGACCAGACAGAGGCAACGCTGCTATTACCAAATCAGAATCTCTCCAGCCAGCAGTTGCTAATATTGCAGGTAACACAGCTGTTCAAGTCCAGCGAAATCTCCATTCATTCTTTGCAATGGTCCACTTTATCCAGATCTTTCCGGATACTTTTAAAATTAATCAGACTATTTTGACATTAGCCAAAGTTTAGGCTTTAGCAGCCGGGGTTTTTTTTACAATGTTTTTATAATGTTTGGGGAATGTGTGACGAGAACTGTCATAGCCTGGGCATTGAGACCGAACGGCCTTGAGACGCCATTGCTGGGATTCTCCATTAAAATGTCAAGTTCTAGCAAGAGGCCGGCCCTCAAGGTCCACACATAGATGCCGGCTGCTGCAGAGATTAGATTAGATTGAGCAAACGTGCTTAGCCCAGTGCCTGGTGTGGGACAGACTCATCCTCTCACATAGTGGGTCCTCTATGCTGCTGAGTGAACATCCCAGGCTGTGAAAAGAGCTGGTAAGAAAGAAAAGGCTGATGCAGAAGTGTGCGCGTGTGTGCGCGTGTGTGTGCGTGTGTGCACATGCGTGCGCGTGCACGTGTGTCTGTCTGCACACACTTCAAAGGGGTCGAAGGGAGCTGTCAGCAGCGGTGAACTGCGATGTCTCTACTCCCCCAGGTCCTGGCTCCTGTGCAGAAGTGAAGCTTCGTGTCCTGCAGTTCATGAAGGAAACAGAAGAGATTGTCTTGGCTTCTAACAGTTCTCAGCTCCCTCTGGGGGAGAGTTTCCTAGCGGCCAAGGGAATCCGGCTGACCAAGGAGGAGCTCGCCCTTCCTCCACTCTCCCCATCCCAGGAGACCATCTCGGAGAAGTTTCTGACGAGGAGCGATTATGCCATGCGCTTGGCAGCTCAGTCTAGTGAGTGTCACGTACTTCTGGTTTCCTGCTCCATTTCTTTGGGGAAGCGGGGGCCTGAGTTAGATGCTCTTCAGTCCCCTTCAGGACTTTGCTGACTCACTTTCCCCCAGGCTGATGGAGGCCTGGGAAAGAAAAGGCAAACTGGTTTTGTGATACCAGTTTCAGCTGGAACTGTGCATGCTTCTCCAAGACACTCTGACACCCGCCAGCACAGCTCCTGGGGCTTGGGGCGGGGCAGGTCTCCACATTTTGCTCTGCAGATGGGACCTGCAGCCCCTGGGTCGCCTAACATTCTTGTTAAAATGCGAAGGGCTCCAGCCTCGAATGCTCCTGCTCCTCTCACATCCTGTTCTGAGGCTTCCCTCCATTTCCAAGAATTTAAGAATAACCCCAAAGGGGAACCTGAGAAACGACTGCATTTCAGGCTCCTTCCACGCGTGAGCTCATCTAATCCTCACGGGGACTGCAGAGGCATGACTTGCTACCTGCCTATGACAGAGAAGCGCCCTCTGAGAGCCCACAGTACTCTAGCGCATAATAAGAGCTCCACATTACTCGAAGCTTACCCCTGGCCAGGCACTTGCTGTGCTGCCCATTCCCAGATTCCCAGATCTTTGCAGCTGCTCCTCCGATGGCTCTATGAGAATGATGCTGTAGTCGACATTTGTGATTCTTTTCAAATGTGGAAACTGGGGTTAAGTCACATGCCCAAGCCCACCTAGTTAATAAGCAGCAGAGCCTGGCTGTGCCGCTGTGGTCTGGCCCCTGAGCCTCCATCCCCTGCCCAGCTGATCTGCAGCCTCGATCTCTCTCTCACCCCAGAGCCCCTGTTCTTCGTCCACTGCCAGCAGCTTGCTTCGGCCTCATGGACCCCACACCAACTTGGCAGGAATAAGAGACTCCTGTCTCCAAGCCTGTCCCCCCCACATCCCATGTCAAACTATCTCAGCTGATTTCGTCCCTGAGGGTCTCTGGGTTTGGATCAGAAACAGCAAAGCCCCTGACAACATCTGAGCCAAGAAAAGAACACCCTCTCCCGCAGGCCAGCCCTGGGGTGTCTGCTGCTGCCTTGGGGGGGGGGGTCTTGTTTGCCTTTCTTCTCCTAAGCATCTGAGCCAAGAAAAGAGCACCCTCTCCCGCAGGCCATCCCTGGGGTGTCCGCTGCTGCCTTGGGGGGGTCTCGTTTGCCTTTCTTCTCCTAACCCCACAGGAGGTGAGAATCTCCCCAGCACCATCTCCGTAGCCTGCTCCCTCCCTGACCAGTCGTCTGTTTGGGAGTTCAAGGCACCGTGTCTTATTCATCCTGTCCAGGGCCTGGCTCAGGGCCGGGCAGATCAGAGGAGCCAGTAAATGCTGGTTAACCGTCTCTCACTCCTGTCCCCACTCTGTCTTTCTGTTCCATGCCCTGCGCTTCCTCCACGCCCGGGCATCCCTTCTCTCTGTTCCTCAGAGACTCGGGGACTTCTGCTTTGGGCAAAAAGAAAAAAACAAAAAACAAAAAAAAACCAACCAAAAAACCCTAGTTGTTTCAGGTTTTGTGAGCTGGACAGGATTTGATGCAATGGGAGGAGGGGGCGTGGGAGGAGGGGGCATGGGATTACGCCCCGGAGCCGGGACCGCTTTGGTTAGGGAAGGGGGCAGGGAGTTGCGGGTGCCCCAGAGGTTTATTCGTGCGTCGAAGGATGATGAGGGCATTTTCTTCGGAAATGAGCTAAGGAACTTCCTCTACCCAGCTGCACGCCCTGACCTCGGGTCAATGCTGTGGAGGGAAGAGGAAGGATCTCTAGAGAAGGACCAGTGTTGCCCGTTTTCCCCAGCGTCCCTCAAAGCGAGGAGGGACGTCGCTGCAGCTGCAGAGGAGAGGAAGCTCTCGGAGTGTAGACCTCCAGGGCTGGGAGAGTCTGGGGCCTGAAGGCCCAGGACGAGAAGAGGTTGAGGGCCACGAAGCGTCTTTGGACAACAGAACGCGGTGGCGACGTCCTCGGATGAGGGTGAGGGAGGCGCACGGCTGTGCCTGGCGTGAGCTTGGTGCTTAAGACCTTTGGACATAAACATAACACTAAACCCTGGACATAAACATACCAGACCCATTTCACAGACGAGGAAACTCACACTCAGAGAGCTTGACATCTTGCTCATGGTCACACAGCCAGGAGGTGCCATGCCGGGATTTAGGCTGTAGCTTATGAGGTTCCTGAGTCCTGCTCACCGCCCCAAAGGTCCTGCTCTCCTCGCGTGGGTCCGACCGTGGGTGGCGGTGGGGTGCGGACGGCGGGCTCTCGCCTCTGGGAGCCATGAAGCCCGTCTTTGAGACAGGAACGGCCCAGTAGCCAGGCAGGCCCCTGGCCCCCGGGCTGCCGGAGATGCGGGCCAGGATCCCAGGGAGGACGCTGTGGCTCTATCCCCCACCCCACCCCACAAGCAGCAGCAGGAGAGGAGGCTGGAGGCTGGACTTGAGCAAGGGCCTGAGAGACAGTGCATGGCTACTTGGAAGGATGGCGTTGGGGGTGGATCCGGCTGGGGAGCGAGAGCCGTGAGACCCGGACTAGCTGGCCAGCTGTCGTGAGCACTTCCGCTCTCTCCCAGCATGCATTTCTTCTTTTCTTCACTCACCGAAGGTTTCTGGGTGCCTGCTATGGAGTAGGCACTGCTCTAGGTACAAACCATACCGATCCCTGCGCTGAAGGGCTTGAGAGCTAGCATGGAAGTGACAAACCGAAGCAAAATAAATAGTGCACTATCTAGTCGAGATCAGCGCTGGAGGATGCTGTGGGGGAAAAGCCAAGAGCTGAGGCGGGGCTGCCATTTGATGAGCAGGGGGACCGTCCACTCATCACTCGGCCTCCCCCGTGGGTCTGGTTTCCTCATGCTTGGGGTAGACATTCCGACTTCTCGGAGCTGTTTCGAAGTCAGGAGGAGATGTTGCGGAGAACAAAGCTTCAAAGGGGTAAAGAACCAAAGGGTGAGCGTTGGCAGGAAGGCGCGGGGGCCGTTCGCACAGGCCGACTTCTGTGTCCACGTGCATCCCCTCCCCCGCCCTGCTGTGAGACCGTGCCTCAGTTTCCCCGCCCATCAAATAGGATCATATTAGCTCTCAGGGGGCCGTCGTGAGCATTCGGTTAATTAAAACAGGTACTGGGATTGTGCCTGGCACATAGTACATGTTAAATGCGTCGTTACTGGGACCTCCAGTGCGGAAGACACTTCATTGGCCTGACTGACTCCGTGTGGAAAGTTATGGATAAAGGACTACAGAGATTCCTTCAGATTCCGTCCTACATTTTCATTTCTAGAGGACAATCTGGCGAGAGCCTCCCCCGCTGTTCGAGGAGCTTCTCCCTCCTTTCGGGTGGAGGTGTTTGTCGTGTAGATGAGAAGGCCTCCGTAGGTGGGAACAGGGATGTGCCTGGCTCTTCTAGGTGACACGGCTGGGGTTTCTGCGGGTCAGGTGCTCACATCTCTGCTCCTCCCTGCAGCCCTGGACTTCTATCTGCGACGCCGCCCGGGCTATTCCTCACGAGCGGCCGCCCTCCTCCGGTCTGGCCCCTACGTGCCTCAGTGCGATGCGTTTGGAAGCTGGGAGCCTGTGCAGTGCCACGCCAGGACCGGTGAGGGGGACAGATGCCCTCGGGAGGCCCGGGGACAGCCCTCTTTTTCATTTAGAGGAAAGAGCCCCAACTGGGGGCAAGCGAGCTGGACTCCAGGGCCCTCTATGTACATCCCTTAGTTTCTCTGGCCTTTGGTTGTCTCATCTGTACAATGGAGCAGTGACCTTCTACAAGCCTGAAGGTCAAGTGGATGTTGGCTGGTGGGATCAGGGTACTGAGGCCTGTGATTGTGGATGGTGCCGGGCAGAAGGGACGGATGAAGGCCCTTCCTGGCATTGCTATGAATGCAGAGACAGCAAGTTGTCTGTGGGACGCCTGGGGACAAGTCCCTGAACTTCTGGCCTGTGTCCCTTTTCTAGGTCACTGCTGGTGTGTAGACGGGGAGGGAGAGTACCTCTCTGCCTCGCTGACTGCCCGCTCCCCGCAGACGCCCCCGTGTAAGTGCGCCCCGGGGAACGCTCCCGCTGGACCCTGCGGTGGGCTCAGGGCTGGGGGAGGCCAGTTCACAGGCTCAGCCCAACCACCTTCTCCCAGGTCCCCAGCCTAGAGGACCTTCGCTGACCTCGGCCTCCCGAATTTGTGCTCCTAGTTTCCCAAGTGGAGAGGGGCAGCTGAGAGGGGACCCAGCCTTCCCGCCCCGTCCCCCACAAACCCGCTCTCTGGGCAGTTCATCCACTTCTACAGTTTCTACAGCCACTTCTCATCTGTCCCCCAGCGCCATGTCATCACCTGCCCATTTTCTGTCTCAAAGATGCTACATCCCACATAGGTCTTTGTCCTGGAGCCTCAGCCTGCCTCTGCTCTGAGGTTCCAGTTCTGTCCACAGCTCTCACACTCTGGCCAGCCTGGGCCCCCCGCCCTCCCTGGGCCCGCACAGTCTGTTCAGGGACCTGCTCTCTCCCCGGCAGGCCCCACCACCTGTGAGCTGTCTCAAGCCACTGGGCTGCTTTCCAGCTGGAAACAAGCTGGGTCCCAAGAAAACCCGTCTCCAGAAGACCTGTTCACCCCAACCTGCCTGGAGGTAGGGCCAGGAGGGCCCCGGGGGCTCGGGGAGGGAAGCCAGAGCTCTCCCCGCAGGTTGCGGATGGTTTTTCTAGTTTTCAGTAAAACTGTTTTTGTTAAGAACTCAAGGGAAGTTCTAGGCCTGGGTAATTGTCTTAGTCCTGGCAGACCCTGGCTGTGTGACCTCGGGCAATTTAATTACCTTCTCTGTGCTTCAGTTATTTTTTGTTTTTGCTTTTTTTTTAATCGTAAGATCGGGCCACATTTTTATCCTACCTAGTGCTAGGGTTGTTTGGAGAACCCAAGGGATTATATTTCATGAAAATTCCTTAAACACCATCTACACATATAAAATTGCTGCCATGCATTTCCTGAAGTCACCATGGCAAAGTGGCCATGCCCCTCATATCTGTTTCTCATTATAATGGCAGGTCTCATAATCACCCCAGCTCCCTGCACGATCGTCATAACTGAGTGCAGAAGCTGACTGGAGGAGTAAAAGCTCCTAGAGAAAGGATTCATGCTAGACTCTTAACCACGTCTGGGCCACACAATGGCAGTCCCTGCGCCTCGATTTGGGCTCCCTGACATGGAGACGATAGAGACAGCACTGCCTGTCCTGCTCAGGTCCCAGGGGCTTTGTGCAAATCAGATGAAATCCCTCCAATGGGACAACTGTGGTCCCTGCCTCATAGGACTGTTCTAATCATCAGTTCAAATAATGCGTGGAAAAGGTCTGGAATGGGATAGCGCCTCCCCCAGGCCACCTCTCTCCCTGTGGAGACGCCATCACCAGTAGTTTTGGAAGGGACATTCTTGGCATCTGCCCACTGGCCTGTGGGCCGCAAAAGCATTATCTTCCCTGGAGTGACAAGACCTCGGCTTTGTCTCAGACAGGAGAGTTTGCCAGGCTGCAGGTGTCGGAGGCTGGCATCTGGTGTGTGGACCCGGCCTCAGGAGAGGGCGCCCCGCCTGGAGCTAACAGCAGCGCCCAGTGTGAGTGCTCGCCCCTCCCCCACCACCCCTCCCCCACCCTTCCCATGAGCGCTGGCTGTGGAGTCATAAAAGGTGGCTCGATGTCCCAGCTCTGCAGCTTCCAGAGCTACAGAAGCCTCTAACCTCACTGTGCCTCAGTTTCCTCATCTCTGAAATCGGAGCAACATCCCCCAACCTCAGCGGGTTCATGGGAGAAACACACATGGTGCTTGGTACCTGAGAGATGAAAACCAGAACTGATCCCTGTTAAACTGCTTCCACGGGTTGACCATGGTATGGCATTGATGCCACGCCAGGTCCGCACCTGGTCCCTCGGCTTCACGGCTGGCCCTGCAACCTGGTTTCCATGGTGAAGTCAAGATGCACGAATGTGCTGATGCCCCTCATTTGACTTAAAACCGTCCACACTCCCCACGGTCCCGAGGGGCAGGCCCGAGCTCCTCGCCACGATGCGTGGGCCCCCGTGTGTCTGGCTCCTGTGCCCCTCGTCTCCTCGTCTCCCACAATCCAGGATCCGGGTGTAGTTATCTACGGTCCGACTGTTCATAGCTGAGTCAGTGCCTTCCCCTGGGCCCCAAAACTGCCCTGTGCATCTCCTGTTGTTGCCCTTATGACTCTGAACTGTAACTGCCTGCTTACTTAGTCTTTAAGACTAAGACTAAGACTCTAAGCTCCTTGAGGCCAGGCAGTGTGTGTGTGTGTGAGGGGGGAGTGTGGGGGTACAGAGCTGAGTGAGGCCCAGTCTTTGCCCTGTCCTAGTTCAACACCCCGGTGGGAGACAGTCCAGACCCTGGATGGCCATGCAGGAGGGCGGCAGTGGGAGGTGGCACGTGGCGGCAAGGATGCCAGCTTTGCAGGCGAAGAGCCCACCTGGCTTGTCTTTGTGTCAAGGCCCTGGCCTCTGTGAAGCCCTCCGGAGCGGCGTTTTCTCCTGGAGAGCCAGCCTAGGCTACGCCCCGGCCTGTGGGGCAGAGGACGGAGGCTTCTCCCCAGTGCAATGTGACCCGGCCCGGGGCAGCTGCTGGTGTGTCCTGGGCAGCGGAGAGGAGGTGCCGGGGACCCGCGTGGCCGGGAGCCAGCCGGCCTGTGAGAGTAAGCTGTGGCACCCTGCGGGGGCTCCCTGGGCCGATGTGGGGTGGGGGGAGCTGCTCATCTCTTCCCCATCCCAGGCTGGGGGACCCCAAAGACATTGGGATGGTGGGAGTGGGAGGGGAGACAGGGGAAAAACATGAGGAATGTGAGTGCAGGTGGTTCCCATGAGGCTGAAATTTGCTCGCCCTGGAGCGGAGGTCAAGGTGAGCCTGCGCGGGCATCTCCAGAGCTGTCATCTCTGGTAGCTCCGGTGCTGGCGACTGAGGGCTCAGGTCTTTGTCTCCTACCCTTGATGGGGGAGGAGGGGCCTGAGGGCAGGATTGCAGTGGGGGGAGCCCATCCCAGCTGGCAGCTTCAGGATTTTTTGGCGATGTTGGCCTGTTTGTTTTTATTTCTAGTTTAAAAACTTGTTTGGATATCAAATACTGAAGTATATATCATATGAATATTTCTTAGAATGTTGAAATACATTATTGCATATTAAAATCTATTATTTAGTTATCAATCATTTACCTTTTATTTCTCCTATCTACTCAAGTCACATGGCATTAGAATAGTTTTAAAATTCATGTGAGTAAGTAGGTTGGACTCTGTGAATTTTATTTCAGGACAGTAAATGAAGACATTGCAAAATACTTATCACCTATTGGGGTGTTGGGTCTGGTGGGGATGAGAAATACTGCACTAAACAATTCCGATTTTATTGCAATTGCCTTTTTTTTTTTTACGGGCCTCATTGTTTTATTGATTTATCTAGAAATTTTGCAGTCTCTAAGCAACAGTCTGAACTGCAGAGACAATTAAGTCTAGTGATCTATATGTGTAAAGAGAACCTTTATATTTGTAAATTCGTATCTGCAAGGAGAAAGGGGGACCTTCAAAGGAAGGGCGAAAAGAAAGAATTGTCCACTCTCTCTGTGGGAGCGCCTTCTCCTCCCCCCACTCCCCCCTCTGCCCCAAGTGGTGTTGTGCTCCGGGGGGTTTTAACACGCACCCTTCCTCCCAAGGCCTGCTTTGCCTCCCTCTGTGCGGGGCCTCTGTCAAGGCAGGACCCTGTCATGCTCACGTCTCTGGCCCGCAGCAGCTGCTACCGCATGGGGAACATAGCAGGTGCTCAGGGGGTGTTTATGGGTGGGATCCCTTCCGTGTGCTTCCGTGAGAAGTGGCATCAGCCTTAGGGTTGGAAATAATCAACATTCAACTTCCAGGGCATCTAAACGTAATCAGCACGGCCCGGGACCCAGGAAATAGGCCGACGTGTCTCCCCCAGGAGCAGGGTTGGGAGCACAGCTTTTTTAAGGTTTTGGAGGACCTGTGTGGCTTGGCCGTGCCGGATTTCATGGTAATAGCTCATGCTTGGAGAGATTTACCTGTTAAAAGGTGCTTTTCACATTCCTTATCCCATGTGGGTAAATAGATAGAACAGTCCTATCTCCCCAGTTTACAAATGGAAAAACTGAGACTCAGAGGTTCATTAGCAAGTCCCAAGTCACACAACTAGCAGTTGGAGCAGCCAGCATTAACGTGAGCCCCCAAATTCCCTTCCTTCTGGCCTACTGCAGCGTGTGGTGGAGAAAGCTCAGATGTGAGGGCCAGACTTGAATGCCACCTCTGCCACTCCCTCACTGGGTGACGTTGAGCTGGTCCCTTAACCTCTCTGGACCTTAGTGTCCCACTCTGTGAAACAAGCATGCAGAATCATAGCTATTTCTCCAGTCATTGTTAGGATTAACTCAAATAGTCTCTGTAAACTGCGTATCTCGGTGGCACAGCCGCTGTAGGCCATAGGGCAGAAGAGTTTACCTCCCCATGCCCCAGGGTCCTCACCTGTGGAATAAAGGTTCTCATCCAATGATACTTACTCAGGTACCCACATCCTAAAACTTCCAGTGTGGGCAATACCGTATACTCCCTTTGCTGTCGTTAATAATAATGACAGCTAACATTTATCGAGCATTTATTATGTTTCGGTAACTCTTCTAAGTTCTTTGCATGCCTTAATTTATTTTGATTCACTCCATCCTGAAGGGATAGGCTTTCCTGCTATCCTCACCATTTTATAGGTAGGAAACGGAGTCACAGAGAAGTTAATTAACTTGCTCTAGGGAGCTCAACTGGTAAATAATTGAGCCAGGATTCAAAGCCTGGCAGGCCAGCCCCAGAGCCCAGAGGCTGACTCCATGTGATCGCCCTCCACATACACGTGGCATTCCGTAAGAGCCGCCTCGTTCAGCCCACTGCAAGTCATAGTGCAAAATCTTGCCCGGAGGCCATTGATCTTATTAGAAAGAAGCAGAGCCTATATCGTGGAGACCAAAATGAGTCATTCTCCATTTCTGAGGCCCCCAAGGACCCTTGAATCACATGTGGATTGCAAATCTTGAAGCCAGACATCAACAGGCAGCAAGGCTGTGCCCAAGAGTCAGATAATTAACTAAATCTCTAGTCAGGTGCGAAACTGTCACACTGAGTGTGTCCACTCTTTAGTTCACCCACTCGTCTGGCCCACATTTACAGGGCTTGTGTCCTGGATCGGCACTGTGCTTTGGGGACACCAGTGTGCAGGTGATTAGACTCATGAATAATTGATAACGTGGGAGGCTAACGCCAGGTGACCAGCAAGCTTAGAGAAAGGAGACTCAAGAAGCCCCAGGACAAGCGTGGAAAGTATTAGAGAGCTAGAGGTGTTGACCTGATAAGCAAGGGTCAAAACAGGAATCTTCTAGGCAGATGAGCAGGCGGGAGGGAAAGGCGGGGGCGTGTGGCCAGGATGTGCTCAGGGAATGACCGCCATGCCGGCAGGGAAAGGGGACTGGAGGACACGGGAGCAGAGAGGAAGGGCGGGTCGGCAGGTGCTGGCGGGAATCGAGAGTCGAAGTCTAGCTTTGCTACAATTTCTCTGCTGGCTGTGGAGACTGGATTGGACGAGGGAGCAGAAAGGTAGGGATGAGGCCCACACGCAGGGAGCCGGGCGAGGAAGCTTCGGTGGCAGTTCAAGGGAAAGATAACGAGCATCTAAATGAGGGGAGCGCCCTGGGAATGACGGGACCTTGAGAAGGCGTGAGCCACAGCCTTTGCTGACGGCGGAGCTGGGACCGCCCGGGATGTTTCTGGCGTGGGACCACTGGGTGGCTTGAGAGGCCTCACACTGAGCTGGGGTGCTGGGCAGCAGACGATGCGTGATGACATGTTGGCCTTGAGATGGAGAAGATCACTGGTAGTTGGATTTAGAGATGAGAAGATGCTCCAGAGGTCTGAGCTGGACAGGAAGATAGGACAGTGAGTCAGCCATGCTCCGTGTCTGTTAAGACGGGAAGAGGATGGGCTCGTGGAGCAGGGGCGGGGGGCAGGCCAAGGCCAAGGCCAGGGCCCCAGGAGCCCCCGCACATCCGCGGGAAGGGGAGGGGAGGAGGGCGGTGCCTGAGGGGAGAGGAGCAGCTCTCGGTGGCCCTGTGCTGGGCAGATGCCACCGCCAGCCCTCGTTCCCTCTCCTAGGCCCGCAGTGCCCGCTGCCATTCGACGCGTCGGCTGCGGCTGGCGGAGTGATCCTGTGTGAGCGAGCCTCGGGCCCAGGAGGGGCCGCCATCCAGCAGTGCCAGCTGCTGTGTCGCCAGGGCTACCGGAGTGCGTTCCCCCCACGGCCGCTGGTGTGCAGCCTCGAGAGGAGACGCTGGGTGTCACAGCCGCCTCAGCCCCGGGCCTGCCAGCGTGAGTGGCCTTGGGGATGTCTGTCTGGCACCCCGCTCCCTCTCGTTTTCCACACCCAAGTGCAGCCCTTCCATGTACGCCAGGTGGCATCGCGAGCAGCAGAGGGTGCTAAGTAACTTCGGAGATGAGCCATCATGCTGGGAAGCATTTCCGCTCTGAGGATGACAACAAGATGGCTGTGCTTGCGTGTTCCAGGCTAAATGAAGGAGGGCTGTTTTTGCAGAGGGAACACCAAAGACGAGAACCCCACAGGCCCGTCTCGGGCGTCTGCTGACCTCTGCTGCTTCCTGCAGGGTTCCAGCTGTGGCAGACCCTCCAGACACAAGCGCGGTTCCAGCTCCAGCCAGGCGGGCCGTGCAGTGCCGATGACGCGGGCTTGTCGCCGGCTTTCCAGGTCTTCATACTGGACGCGCTCATGGCCCGTGGCTTCTGCCAGATCCAGGTGTGTACCCAGCCTTCCCCACAGTGGGGGCCTGGGCCGAGCTCAGGGCCACCGCGCCAGACAACCTAGGGCTCACATGAACCTACAGTTCGACCTTCAATCATTTTACCGGTGGGCAAACTGAGGCCCAGAATGAGAAAGTAATTTGGCCAACTCTAATTACATAGCGGCAGAGGTGCAATCCGAACCTATCTCCTCATTGGCCATTTTGCCACATAAAGATGTCAAGTCAAACATGTCCCGAGTGCTTATCACGTGCCAGGCACTGTGCATCCCTTGGCATGGATTAGCTCATACAATCTTCACAGCGATCCTATTATTGCCACTTTTTAGATGAGGGGAGGGAAGACTAGAGGATGAAAATAATTGGCCAGAGTCGCACAGCTGGGAAGTGGCAGAGCCAGGCTGACTGCCATGAGGACAGACTTGTGGTCCCAATGGAGTACCGCCACCACCCATGGAGAAAGAGCCTGGGGGCGAGGGGTAGGAAGTCTGGGAGGCCATGATGTACTCTCTGAGCCGATGTGCCAGGCGCGTTTCTTGATGAATCCGCCCAGAGGCATTATGGGTCTCCTGCAAAAAAAAAAAAAAAAAAAAAAAAATAGTGAACGCCAACTGGAAAGAAGAACCGTAAATAATTACCAGAGCTTTGAGCTGCGTAATCGGCAAGGGTGATCCGAAGGCGCGAGAATTCAGAGGGAGTCTTCTTTTCACACGTCACCCAGTCACTAGGTCCTCGTCTCGTTGCTCACAGCTGACTTGTCAGAGCAACTCATTTTTAGCACCTAGTGCTAAGGCTTTCATAGAACTCAGATTTTTATAAAACCAAATACTGAGAGTATTGATTCTAAAACGATATTGTTTCCTTTTATCCAAAGACCTTCACGTAACAACAATATCAGCAATATCTAGTAATTAACTATCGAGCACCAGCTGTGTCGCTGGCACCCTGTGAGAAGCCGTACATTCCTTAGCTCTAAGTATGTCACCTTCTGCTCTGTGGGTGTCATTAGTTCTCAATTTACAACTGAATTAACTAACAACCATAGAGGGTAAGTTGCTCAAGATTTCGCATAGCTCAGTAAGTCCAGATCCATCTAGACTGTCATTACACCAAATCTGAAGCAGAAGAGTGAGGGACACGGGGATGCAGAGCCCACAGTGTGGGGTACCGGATAATGCAGTGGGGAACGAGAAGCATCGAGGATGAGTAAGGTTTTGGCTCCAGAGATTGGGTGAAGACGCGGTGCTGAGATGATGAGTTAAACCTCACACAGTGAGGGGTGAAATATTCCAGAATCCCCAGACCGGAAAGGTGACCTTGCTGGAGCTCGATGGGTTTAGAAAGCAGCCTGGGCAAGGGCCTGGTGGTGGGTGGGGCTTCCAGGAGAAGGTGTCAGGGTGCCACTATGAGACAGAGATCTTCTATGGTGAAGGGAGGGTCTTATTCGGAAGTCAGAGACAAGACGCGAGCTTTCAAGTCAGATGGATCTGGGTTCAAACCTTGGCTCCACCACTTCCTGCCAGGGTGACCAGGGCTGCCAGCAGCCTTGCTGAGCCTCACGTCAACCATCTGTGCAATGGGGCCAGCAGCACCTACCCTGGAGGGGCGGATTAAAGTAATACGTTCATCCAAAGCGCTTGCTCCTTACGTCCGTTCTGCTGAGAGGTTGAGACCACAGGCTTTGAGTTAGCAGGGGTTTGAATCCTGGCTCCACCATTTCTTGGCTATGTGACCCTCAGTCATTCCTCGGCCTCTCTGAGGCTAATTCCCCATCTGTAATGGTAGTCCTGACTTCATAGGTTTGTTTTAGAGACTAAACTAGCTCATGTTTAAAACACTTTACATGGCACCTAATCGAGAATATTAAAAAATCATGCCATATTGCCATCTAAGGATGCCAAGCACTGCATCCTGGGATCAGTTCTTGTGGGAGCAGTGGGCAGGGCATAAGCTCCAAGGACAGGGGAGGAGGCCAGGAGTCTCCAGTGGCCTGGGTCCAGCTCGTGGTCACCCTGCAGTCACATCCTCCCGATGACCTCTACCAGTAGTAACATAAACCAGTTTTGGTGTCTTGCATGGACTCAACAAAGCTGGCTCCCTGCTCTGTGTTCCTGAACAGGAGGTGTCTGTTTCCACAGGTGAAGACTTTTGGGACCCCCGTTTCCATTCCTGTCTGTGACGACTCCATGGTGCAGGTGGAATGTCTGACCCAGGAGCGTTTAGGGGTGAATGTCACCTGGAAGCTGCAGCTTGAGGATGTCCCACCAGCCTCTCTTCCTGATCTGCATGACATCGGTACGTTTTCTTTCACTGCTGCCTTGAAGAAGCTATGCAGACTCTCTGGGTCCCAGTTTCCTCGTCTGTCAGGTGGAGCTAGTAAAGCCATAATGTCATCCTGGGAGCGTCCAGGGAGAGTATTAGGTACCTGGCCTGTAGTAGGAGCTGAGTATTAAAGAGTATGTAAAAATCAATAGAATAGATTACTAGACTTAAATATCAGCTGATTGTGTTTTTGTAAACATTTTCTAATTCTTCCCTTGATTTTCTGGGCACAGAGAGGGCACATCGGTGTGAAGAAGGGGTGGGTGGGGTGGGTGAAGGAGTCTCTATTGCTTTATAATTTACGCCCTGCCCACTTCCAATTATAAACCTTCTCACCCACTTGCACTATTGAGATCCATGACTGCGCTGTCTAAAATGGGCAGTTACGATATGGATGAATCGAGGATCTACGGAGAAGCGGGGTGGATTTTACGATAACCCGAGGGTCAGGACCGGCTGGAGCTTGACTTCTGTTCTATGACGGAGACCTTCTGGAAAACGTGGCCAGGGTGTAGCCAGGAAGGAGATTATATCTCTGCCATTCTGTAGTCCTCGTGGCAATAATCATTCCCCCTCACAGAAGCATCAGTTAGGGGTCCCTTTCACCCTCCCTGAGGAAAGCCCGGATAATGCGGGTGTGTTCGAAGCTGCGAAGAATGAGATGTATATTCCTGGCGCCAATGGTGACAGCTGTGGCTTCCTGCCTCGGGCTGGCCGTACAGGACCCTGGTGTGGCACGCACGTTCCTTGGGTGCCGGGATGCGTCTCAGCTCCAGATGTGGGGCTCACGTGATTCCTTCCTAGGAAAGGCAGCTTGACAGCTGGAGGCCTTCTCGCCGTTCAGTGAGCGCCGGGGCGGAAGGCCGCGTGCCTCCCAGAGCTCTGCCTTCTCTTTGTGTGGCCCCGTCACACAGTCTCCCTCGTAATCCTCACCAACTGCAAGAGAAGCATTTCCATGTTGCAGATGGGGACACTGAGGCTCAGAGAGGGTGGCTCGCCAATGCTAGAGATAGTTGTGCATCTTGATAGTGTATCTGAGATAGGGGACCGAACTCATGATATCCTGTACCTGTGGGGATCACGCTGATGCCACAGAAAGGACAGGAGGCGGGGACCTGGAGTGGAGTCCTCTTTGTGCTTCCAACTCCTGTGTGACCTTGGGCCAATCAGTCCCCTTCTCTGGGCCTCAGTTTCTCCCTCTGTACAATGAAACACCAAGTAATGCCTATGTCTCCTCACGGTGAGCATGTCCAGATGGCTTTGCCTCTGGGTCCTCCCCTGCCCTTGCAGAGAACAGTGAGGTGACACTCCTGCCTCATCCCGTGTCTTGCAGAGGACGCCTTAGTGGGCAAGGGTCCCGTGGGGCGCTTCGCAGATCTGGTCCAAAGTGGAGCGTTCCAGCTTCATCTGGATAACAAGACGTTCCCAGCGGACACCTCCATTTACTTCCTCCAAGGGGACAGCTTTGGCACCTCTCCCAGGACACGATTTGGGTGCTTGGAAGGATTCTACCCGGTCTCAGACACCAGCGATGCCCTTCGGGACCCCCTGGGGTGCGGTAGGTCCACCCTGTCTCAGGGCTGCTGTTATGTAGCCATGTGAGGCTGCGGGACAGGCCAGCGGAGATCTGACAGATTCTGACACACAGAATGGAGAATCACACATTTATTCATTCCCCAAAAGCTTTCTGGTCATCCACTAGGTGTGGGCAGATGGCCACCACTCATTCCACCACTGAAACTGGAGGTGTAGATGACACGTCAGAAGGACGAACTCTGATGACTGAAGTGACCCCTCCCTCTTAGGTACTGACAAGCGTGGGCCCTGGGGCTGCGCTGCACCGTCTTTGTGGAAAAGGCTGTTGTCCACCCTGGGTGCTCCATGACCCTTCTCAGTCTCACAGCAGTGCGTTACTCACCACCACTGCCGGGGGGCCATCCATCAGCCCAGGACTCCCTGCTCAGGGGTCGCAACCCTGGTGAGGTCGACTGGGATGCTCTTGGTCCCGCATGGGGGCCACCTTCCCTAGAATGCAGCTGCGGCCTCCTC